TTCCTTCAATCTTCTGTGAATAGCCCATAGCTATCAATTAAATCTTAATTTGTGAAACACATTTTATGTCACCTTCTCACTCTGCTTGCTTACCTTCTTGTAGCATTAAATGTCTGCAGCCAGAAGAAACATAGAAGTACTGTATGAAATGTTTACGCCACTTAAAAAAAGTAAGAAAAAAATAATCAAAGATTTCTCGCTGATAGGAATTCTTCATTTATTACATGGTATCTTCCAACTTCCATCAAAATCTGTGACAATATAGACAGTATTCTTACTGGGACCAGGAACACAATTTAGAAAAAATCAGAAGTGATCTAGAATGTAGTGTTCCAGATCCAAGGTTTTAAAAGTATAACAGGTAAGCCATTACCACAGAATTCTATTTTCCTCATTACTCTTTTATGTTAATTCAACACATATGAGTTCTGATCTCAACAATGAAAAATGGCTAATAAAAGACAGTTAGTTGAGATGGAATAAAACTGGGTTTTGGTAGAAAAAAGGGATATTCAGCATTAGAGGGACATAAACTAGCAAATAAAAATCCCATCTGCAGCTGTTGTCTTCCTCCCAGCTAGGTTAACCAACAAGGTTAAAAATCCCATTGATCTGGCACAGGATTTCATTTAATAAAAAAGCCAACCAACCAACCAGAACCAAAAACCCCTCTCCTTGTTGATTTTAGGCCAAATCCAGACCATTTTACCTACAATTAATATATTCTAACCAATAATTCAACTACTCTGAAAAAGCTCAGTTGAGGAGAATATGCAGAAGAATGACTAATTTGATAGAGTTTAGAGCGTCTTAGTTAAAATAGTAGTAAAAACATGCAAATAGATGATAAAGCACCTACTGGAAATCTTACTGGAAATTCCAAGTACATGAGAAGGATGTCTCTGTGCATTCAGAACCAGCTACTAGAATAGAAATAGGTATACCTTTAAAAATATAAAAGCAGGTTGGATTAATTAAATATACTGTTTCTATAGCTAACCTACACTGGATTAAACAGCATCTTCGAGTGAGAAAGACATTACTGCTATGCAACAAGTATCCTGCCCCCAAAAATAAAAACCAGCACCCCATTAGATCTGTCCCTGAGGACACTGAAAGCATCTGTCAAAGAAGTAATGTTTATTTATTTTACAAGTCAGTTCATCAAAGGAAATTTTTTTTTTCCTATCTGGCTATATTGTATAGCATATATCAGATTCTGAGGTCAGATGTCAGTAAGCACAGGTTACATGTTATAGGAAAAATTCTGCAATTTTGGGTACTTAGTAACATTAATTTACACACATAAGACACAGCTATGTGCATTTCCTTGCACCTCCTTTGGCTCTTCAATGAACTTAGAAATACTGCTCTTTTTATTGGATTCTTTTCTCATTAGAATGAGAGATATTAGACAGAAATTGATTACTTTGTGTTTTGAAATTTTGTATTTACTCCCTGACTTCATGGTATTAAAAAACAATTGCAAAGTTCCCAGCTGGTGGACTAGCTTCAAATGAAAAACAAAAACAAAAACAAAAACAAAACAAAACAAAACAAAACAAAACCAAAACAACACACATACAAAAAAACCCACTCAATTATCCTACTTGTATTTTAGGTAGATTATTAGCACCTATTTTTTGAAATCTTTGCTAAATTTTGTTGTTTTATCAAAGCTTTTGAAAAAATGCAATACCCACAATTTTGTAAATTCCCTATGATGCAATTTCTTATCTATGGTCACCATAAAGGAAAAGGCACTTCATTAATTTTCTATGAGTCAAATTGACTGTTCACCAAAGCTTATAGAAATGATAATAACAAGCTGACCTAAACAGAAAAAGTTGAAAGTCTGGATAAGTTAAACTGCATTGCTTTTTCCTCTTAACTACAATCTCTGATGATCTTTTTTAAGGAGTTTGAAGAGGTAAGCTTCCAGTTGCTACCCTCTACACTACACAGTACTGTACATGTAGGACTACTCTGCCTCTCCCAGCACTGAAACACTGAAATGCCTCAAAATGTTGAAAATATTCCTAGCCTGTCAAATTACTTGACATGTTGTTAAGTAATTGACTTAAAATATTGTTAGGAGGGTTCTACGTATTGGAAATGAATTTCAGAAAAAGGTATACATAAGTATTAGGACAGTATGTGGCAATAACTTTCCAAAAAAATAGTTACTTATGTATTTATGTATGATTCTAGGTCTACAACAAATATGGATTATTTTAGCCTTCAGGGGAAAAAAATACATGTCAATGCATGTGGCTGCTTCCCAGGCATGTGTTCAGATTTTCAGGACTGATTCCTCTGTATGTTTCATTAACATTAAAAAAATTTTAAACACAAAAATAAAACCATTTTGTCATGCATACAATCTTGACCATAATCTACTCTGAGAACTCTATAACAGTGATGAATACAGCTAAAGAATGTATTCTTATCATCTTTACAGATAAAATGTATTGACATTTATTCACACATGTTCTATTAATTGCATAGTGATTCCAGGATCTGTCAATATCAGACAAAGATACAAATGGTTTAAATAGAATTTAGATTTTTGTTTGCTCAGCAGCTGTGCTTGGTAGCTGTACAGGCAGCTAGTCTCCCAAAGTATTATGATTTTTGGTCTTTTTCCATAGCTGAGTTAACTTCTAAAATAACTTCAACATTTCAGGAATGATCCATGGGCTTGGACTACCTTTCTTTTCCATTTTATTTGGATAGTTTTATTATAGAGTTGGGGGTTTTTATATAGCTCCGCATACAGAAAGTGCCAGCTTGATTCCACATCCAAGATCAAAGCCAATTTCTGTCATTCTGTAATAGGAAGATGAAATTAAAAACAGCTTGCTCATCAGGATGCTTGAAACATCTCTATTTCACCTGTCTATATTTTGTTTTAACACTTCTTTAACTTTCTATGAATTCTGAGCTATCAACTTTTTTTTTTCAAGGTCATGTCCATAGAATTACATTTGATGAAGTGAAAAAGAAGACGAATTATTAAGATAAAAAAGCCTAAAATTTTGACATGCTTTTTTTCCTAAATATTTTTAGGGACTAAGCACTAGCAGAAAAGCACAGGAACATCGTACTTCAACAGGAAAAAAAAGGAATGTAGAGGTCTTCAATACTATTCAATATATATTGTCTTGCTGTTGCAGAATATGAAAATAAGATATGTCTCTAATTTTCACAAGTTGTAAAGCATAATTATATTATATTTTTTCTAAGGTTGCACAACTCCTTTAAGATATTGCAAGCTCCAGGAAGGCTTATATCAGCTACAATCACACTGCTTTATACCTGTAGGAGAGCATTTTTCTGTGCTGAGTGTGCTGCAGAGAATTCTAGCTCTCCCAAGAAGGCACTATGAAATCTTTACCATGAAAAAAAGGACACTTAAAGTATTAAGAGAAACAGACAAATCATGGAGAGACCATAGAGAAAGAAGTAAACTTCAACTTAATTTTATCTGGTCTTTAGGAATGACTGAACTGCAATTATATCCCTTAGCTCACCAAAAAGCTAAAAAAAACCAAACCAAAACAAAACCAAAACCAACAAAATCAAAGCCAACAAAAATCCCAAACCAAACCAAACCAAACCAACCAACCAAACAAACAAACAAAAAAGTCACAGGAAGCTGTAAGAAGGGGTATATGAGAAAGTAAATCAAGAGAAAATTAAATGAAGGCCTTAATTCTGAAGTTGTCTTGCAACTGATTTTTTTCCTACTGTCTAGAAAGGTATCACCTTGGTGCCTGCTCACACAAATCAGACTTTTTGCTTCATGAAAGTAATATCTAAGACTCAAAGTATATGTGGGAGAAAATAAAAAAATATTAAAAATTACACCCAGTGGCAATGAAAACCAAAGTCAAAGAGCTCTTTTGCACAGAATACACCTGATCCTGCCCACCCTTGAACCTCACATGCCTTTTTCTTCATAAAGCTCTTCAGTGCCACTCATACTTTGCCACATTTCCGTACCCAAGTCTGAACACACTCATGGTCTTTCTTATCATTTCTTCGCATTAGTTACTTTTGTTTTGCTTTGCTGTGGTTTATAACATGGTAGCATGCCAGCTTTCCTTTTACACAGTCTAGAACCTTTTATAATTTAATTATACTAATATAATACTCATCTGCTTCCTTTCTATCACTAGGCTTTCTTGCATTTTTTTAATTAAATTTTCCTGATGGTGACAGATGTAGACAAATTACTGCAGTTGTTCTACACATTTAAAAAATATGGCCACTTTTTATGTGTCTTTATATAAATTTATGCAGCTGGGTCTAGGCTTTAAGACTCGGGATAGATGACAGCACTTGCTTCTCATCCAGGCGAATTTCAGCACTCTTTACGGACTCAGCAAGATACATACTTGTCTCTTTCCCCAAGCTGTCACCCAGAACAACCAGATCCGTGTGAAGAGCAAATGTGACAAGGTTTCAATTGCAGTTTTTGCTGATCTACTCCAGGCCTTAGTTACCCAGTCACTATAGAAAGAAATCAGGCAAACCTCACTAGTGAATGTTTTGAAATGGATGGTGTCAACTGTAATTAAATAAGATAAATTAAACTTTAATTCTTCACACTCCTTCGTGTCATTCAGCAAGACAAAAGCAGTTGTCCTTTTTACATTTATCGATTGATCTCTAGGCTTGAAAATCATAATCAACAAGTTTATAAACATACTGAAAACCCTACCATAAGCCCACAGGTAATCGGATCCCAGTATTAAGCACACTTCTGGGTGGCGAGGGAGAAGGAAATCATTGTCAAGGAGCTACACAGAGAAATAAACCCTTCTTCACTCTTTTGGTAACCGTACCAGGATAAAGCCCAGCGGGGAGATGCTACGGATATTGGCCTGGGCCGGGCCCCGTTTTGACAGGGGTCGGCGGGGTGTGGTGTGCGGCAGGTGGGCCGGCCGGGCGGGGGCGGGCGGGGGCGGGCGGGGGCCGGGCTCTCCGGTTGCCAGGTGAAGCGCAACGTCTCCGCCTCCCGCGGTAGGCGCGCAGCCCCGCGGAGCGCACGCAGGCGGCTCGGCTTGCTCGGCTGAGCTCGACTCGGCTCGGCCTCGGCTCGGCTCGGCTCGGCTCCGCGGGGCGCCCAGTGCTCCAGCCCCGCCGCCCCCCGCCATGGCGCAGACTATCAAGAAGGGATGCTTCTGCCCGAGCTTCGTGAGGAGGAACTGGCTGCTGCTGAGCACGGTGGCCGCCGTGCTGACGGGTGAGCGCGGGGGCCGGCAGGGAGCGCGGGGCCGCCGCCCCCCACCCGGCCTTGCCGTCACGACACGGCCTCGCCCGGCCGCGGAGCGGATCCCGCGGTGGGGCGAGGGGCGCTCGGTGGCCGCGGGGCCGGGCGGCACGGGGCGATGCCAACGACCCAGCCGAACGGCGGGCGGGGCGGGCCGGCCGCCCTTCCCGGCACCGCCGCGGGCAGCGGCTCCGCAGCGTTGCGGTGCCGCGACGGCCAAGCGGGAGCGGCGGAGGGCGCGGCACCCGCACCCGAGAGCGGCCCGGTCGGCAGGGGGCCCGGGGCCCTCCTGGCCGGGCGGCCGCTGTTCCGCCGGCCCGTGTGGCAAAGGTCGGTGATCGGCGGCGTGAAGCCGCGCCGTGGAGGACGGGCGCGGGGGCTGTGAGCCCGCGGGGCTGCGGGTCCCCAGGGCGGGCTGTGCCCCGGGCGGCGTCCGCAGCCCCCGGGGGGACCGCGGCACCTGCCTTCCGTGAGCCTGCGGGGCAGCCTCGCCGAACACGGCTGCACGGCCGGAGAGCGCTGGTGGTGGCTTTGGAGAGCTTCGGATGGCCCGAGCGAGCTTTGCGACTGGAAGAGCTTGGTGGTGCCACCCATTTTTCAGAGGGTTTTTTGGGGAGTTGAAGAGTTTGGCAGTGCTACCCATTTTTCAGAGGGGCTTTCAGGGTGAAAAGTGTCTCAATGCCACCTAGCTTTCAGAGGGATTTTCAGGGGCTCCATTGTAAAGGTAAGAAGGTTTCTCCCCCCGCGTGTCAACAAGTTTCCAAAGGGGAAACGAGTTGAACACCATCTTACTAAGGATAGGAGGGCAAAGAGAATGCATCAAATTACTTGGACAAAGAGTCTTCCATAGGGCGTAATTTTGGCCCTAGTCGCACACGTTTTACTCCTTTCTTTCCTTGTGATTATTTGGAGAGCTTCCTTCACATTATTGCTCCTGCAGAGAAGTGCTGCTTTAAATACTTCATTAACTTGCTATCTGATGGGTCTCTTTCAAATGACTTTTCTGCAAATTTGCATTTTGGCTGAACATACCTATTTCAGTGCAAATTAGTTCAGGAGAGAATTATTATTTTGGAATTCTACCCATCTATTTATAAGCTGTGATAAGAGCTATGCTTACATATATATGTGGGAGCCCCTGGTGGTCTAGTGGTAAAGGCGCCGCGCTACCACCGCGGAGACCCGGGTTCGATTCCCGGTCAGGGCCACTCCCGAGCAGGTGGGGCTCGTTAGCCCTTAAAAAAAAGGCAACCCACCTACGTCCTAAGGACCTCGCTGCCACTGTCCAAGCTCGCTTGGCCCCGGCAGATGAACCTTAGGATTAAAGGGTGGGCTCAGTTCCGCGCACACTGTGTCTCACCTAAAAAATCCAATGCGCAGGCTGGAAGGTGGAAAGACCTTCCCCGGATCTTCGCTCGCGAAGACTGGCCATTATTACATATATATGTGCACTTTTTTCGATACATTCAGTATTTGAAAGGTATCCATTCTTTTTCACCTCTTTCATAAGTGGAAAGATTCTTGTGAGTTCTGTATACCAAGTGCTAAGGAATTGCTTTGAAAATGTGACTGTAATACTGGAGGAGTGTCTGTATGTTTCTGTGTTTGTGTGTAGACAATTGCATTTTCACATACTCCCGTCAGATGTGTCCTTCTATGAGCTGACATACTTTCTTCCCAGTTACAGAAGTGGTTAGGAAAAATTCTCCTTGCATTATCTTCAGTGATTGTAGTTTGAACTGAAATGTGTGATGTGATTTTATAGGTGGATCATTCTGAAATTAAATTTCTCTGGGAGCCACAAAGTCTGACAGTACAGGAACTGTGGGGACAATAATGACCCCAATCCCCCGTAATACCCAGTGGGAATCGACAGTGAGAGAGTGACAAGCACACATATGCCTCCTGTGTCCTTGGTCTTCTCTATCTGCTACACAGTAATTAACATTCCAGAACTCAGGGGAGCTCTCAAATATTGGCAAGAGAGTTTTTTTAAGAATTCCATGAGCTTTGAATTACATTTTACATGTAGCTATCTGTCTACTGCGTTTTCAGTATTTCTTTGAGGTGAAGGTACACAAGAACAGTGAAACCATTGTAAAAATGGAGGTGAATCAGATGTTATTGTTTTACTACAGCTCGAGGAAAATTTTTAGTATACCTAGAGTCCACAAACCCTTCATAATTAAATTTGCATATTCATTTTTATATACACTGGGAAATTGTACTGAGGGTTATTAATCTAGTTAGTTTGGAGGAACAATCCAGCATTTGTGAGCAGAAGAGTAGCACATGATTTTGAAAGAAGTACATACCTTTAGGGTCTTCAGAAAAGTATGATGAATGAGGAGTGGAAATAACAAATTCAGCAAGCTGTGAAAATATGCTATGTAAGCTGTCCAGCTGTGCTGGAAAGTATCTGATATTCCTACACTATCATAAGGAATCATGATTTTTGTTCATCATTATCAAGCCATGTTCATCATCTAATTGAAATATGTTTACCCTTACTAAGCTCAAAAGTTTTCCCGATTACTTATTGTGTGCATCTCTGACGAGAGACAGAAACAGAAAAAAAAAAAAAACCTGCTTCAAGAGTAATGATTCTGTGTTATCTTTTAAGCTTTCAACCCTTTGCCTGTGGTTTATGTTTTCAAAAACATTGGCATTTATAGTGGGGGGGGGGAGGGGATAATTTAAGATTTAAACACAAGGCATCTTGAGTATCACATTTTTTTGGTGAAAACACCTGAATGCATTTTTCAAAGAAAACAAAACTCAAGGCTTAAGAGATTATTTTTCTTACCTTAGCAGACATTCTGTTTCAGACCACCAAACTGATATGGAGAGATCTGTGACTATGAGAGTAGCAGCCTCACATAGATACCTGCAAAAGCAGACATATCTTGCATCTTTTTACTCTACTGGCCTTACTGAGCCCAAAGCAGCTGAGCTGATGAAAGCAGTTTAAAAGTCAATCTGCTTCAAGTGCTTCTTCAGCCTTTCATATGGAAAGTTACATTGCTTCCAGTTTCTACAATCAAGTCAAAATAAACCAGAAATGTCCCTGAAATTTACTCACCCTGAAACTCATGTCCAAAGGGCAGTTGGATACTTATTAAGTCACACTTCACAGGATTCTCATGGAGCATCTATTTTTTGTCATTGCTTTGTCTCCAAGAGGTCACTGCTGCAATACAGCCAAACCAGTCGTGAAAGTAAAAGGCTAATTATGTATAAATACTTGCTCTTTCATTAGTCTCTATGTCATAGGCTAATAGCTCATAATGCTGGGCAATTCTTCAGCAGAACAACATTTTTCTTGCAGTGGGAACTAAAGTGTAGGTGATTTGCCTACATATGATCAGAGGCACTGAGTTACAGTAGCACACTGTCCTAGGGTAGGGATCTTTTAACCTTTTCAGAAATTATATACAAAAAAGTTACAATTTCTTCTTAATACTTATTTTGAAATTTATTAGACCGTTATCTTTTTTTTTTTTTTTTTTTTTTTGTAGCAGTTCTGTGGTGGGGCAACATGAGTCTGAGGGATTCAGTTTGCCTAAATATACAGGTTAGTTCTCCCCCCACCCCCCCGAGTGTGTGAAGTGGGCTTTCTTCTACAGCACATGTGCACTGAAATTCTTCAGGTAGTCACGAGGAAGATGCGAGAAATCCAGTATTTAGATAGATACAGCCAACAGTCACAGGAGGCTGTGACTTCTTCAGCCTACCATAGATCATGTTCGTCAGAGGTATTTCAGTGCGAGGCAGTGATGACCATTAGCTTTCTCCTCTATTCTTTTTCACATTTGGGCGTGTTGCTCATGGTGTTCACCTCAGGAAGGGACCCTAGGTGCCATGGCCATGCAGGCGGGAGCCGTGCGGGGCGGTGCAGGGGCGGCGGGAGCTGTCCGAGGTGGCTCGGAGGCAGCCCGCGGACCGGGAAGACGGAGAACTGGCAAAACGCGGAGCTGCAGCAAGCGGGTGTGTGAGGCAGGGGTGAAATGACTGAGAAAGGGTGGGGGTCAGGTATTCAGGCTGGAGCATGCCTGAATACTAGATTTTTCCGCTTCTGAAATGAAGTTTATTGGGCATCTGCAGCATCAGACGCTTTGTTTGTGCAATTCCCTTGTTGAAAGATTGAGGCTGGCATCAGACCTCCTTCTCTCCTCTCATTTGAGAGTGAGATTAAAATATGCATAGTTCCTGTTGTAACACCAGCATTGGAGAAACTTTGAATGTTGTGACTAGAGCTTTTTGTCAGGATTTGATGAGTGCAGCAGCCGCTGGATCTTCTGGTCTGTGCTTTATGATAGCACCCTAGCAGTACATATGCCAAAAATGTATTCTCTTTATTGTTAATGAAAGTTATTTTATAATATTAAGTAGCAATATCTCCCTATAGGTTTTTTGTTTTGTTTTGATTTGTGTTTTTTTGTTCCCAGATAAGTCAGGTGTATTCACACCTGCTAATTGAAAGGCTGTCCTCCCTCTGCAATCAGACACAAGGAGATTTGACAGCTGCTTTTAAAAGCAGTAGTTTTGCATTATCTGGAAGCCTACCAGTGGATTCTTACAAGAATGGATGTCTCACAGGATGAAGACAAGAACAGATCAATTAGTAACTTATCACTATGTTGATGGCCTTTCACCATGGAAAAGGCCACTCTGAACCCAGGGAGTTCACCGTACACCTGAGTTTCTTTTGTGACCTGCAGCCCCTAAACCCAGTAAACCTATAAAGTCTTTCTGTTTCTCATGATAAGTTGCTTCTGTCTCTGGAAAATTTAATTTAAAAATCAGAAGCCCATTCTAGGTATGGAGTAAGGTTTCACTGTTTTTCATTTCCGCTTCCTTACACCTTTACCAAGAAGTGGCCCACTAACTTAGTTTAGGCTGTCTTCAGTATCATTTCTCATTTTCTGCACAATACAGTGGGAAGGTTACAAACAGTGAAACAGATTAATCAT